AAAAAAAAAAAAACCAAAAAATCCACAAAAAAACTATGTTATGCAGAAAAATAAACTGAACAACTTTTGCCTCAGGGTCACATCGAAATTCTTCACCAAATTCAAAATAAAAAATAAAAATTAAGGGCCACTCTGGTAGGCTAGCTTTATCTTCTTTTTTTTTTTTTTTTTTTGAAGAAACTGCCCGAGCTGCTGCTAGGGGTGCTGGTGAGAGCAGGCACCACTAGCAGTGACGGGGAGACTCCATCTTTTGGTGGGGAGCAGCACCCGCCGGAAATCGGGTCCAGCATCCCTGTACATCTCAAAGGTTTTGTAAAAGCTGTGTAAACATATGTGTGCAGTGCAAACACTGCCTATGTCATCTGTGTGCATTATTCCCTAATATGATGTCAACCGGGTATCTCTCGATGCAGCAGGAGGCATTGATTACTTCCCAACACACAGGGAAGGATTGATCTCCTGCCATCCCAATCAGCAATCAACAATACCAGAAACCCTAATCAACCCCAAGCTAGGTACTCTTGCTCTATCAATAGAACACAATTATCAGAAAGAAATCACTCGTGTGATTGAGCAATGTTTAGGGTTAGTGAACCTGCTAACCCTTGACAGATAGAATACAGTCCCTCTCTACCACACCCCCACCGGCGGCAAAACTCGTGTGCCATGGCGATGCAAATCCGCCACCACCATAAGACTTAGTGTCATCGAAGCGGCCGCCCTTGCTCCCATTGTCGTTGTTGCTGATGCCGATCTTGCAAGTGTTTGTAGTTGTTATCGTTTCTGCTGTTGTTGTTATTGTTGGTGTAGCCGTCGTCGTTGATGTCATTATTGTCGTTGTTATTGTCTTTGATCCAGTCTTCAGTGTTGTTGTTGTTGTTTGTGGTGTTTCCACTGTTATCACTGGCGGGCAACCAATCACCCACTCATCATAAGCCGCCGCCATCTGTGGAGAGGCTGGAAGAAGTTGTCGTTCGTCAGGCCCTCCCTGCATGTAACCCTCCTCAAGCGGCGGTTGGCCTTGTCCTGTGTTGAGCGTCTGGTCGCCCCCTTCAGATTGTACGCGCAACCTCGCCTCCGAAGCTGCGCACAGATCACGCCCTTCGTCAGAAATGTTGTAGCAGCGCCGCATCAGGGTATCCGCTTGTCGTCAATCGATGAACGCATCGTCAGAAATGTTGTAGCAGCGCCGCATCAGGGTATCCGCTTGTCGTCAATCGATGAACGCATCCAGCTGAGGAGCCGGCCCCTCCAACTCCCAGATGACGTCCAACATGCTTTGCATCATCTCCTCCTGGCAAGGGACCAGCGCAGCTGCCCCACCATCAGCCGCAAACCAATCCCCTCGCCTTACGGTTGAAGCATCAACGATATTTCGCCAACAGCGACTCCCTTCCTGAAAGGTCAACAGCCACTCAGTCGCGCCATGCTGCAAATCACCAATTGAAGCGGCCATGTCAAGCACTCAAAGAACGCACCGTCAGATCACTGAAAAATATAGGGGCAGTAGCTATGGTAGCCCCACCACTGCCCCCGTCTGCAGAGTGCGGCTGAGCCTCGTCGGCCGGTCCACAGCGCAGGTTAGCGCTTGGCGCTAGTGCGTGTGTTTGGCACCTCTATCCATTTAATCTACTATGGCGCTCAGCCTCCTAAATATTCGGAGAGGAGAGGCTCAAAACAGGAGGTTTTCCAGTTGCCTGGGGCCATGTACTGGTGGCTTAAGAAGTACTTAAACCACCAGGCCGAGACAGCAGGCAAACTTTCCCATCGAGTACGAAACACTAACACTACAAATCCAGTCAGTGAAGGCCCAACCTCCTTGTGTAGGGCCACGGTTTTGGGTCGGCTGCGGCCTGAACCGTTTTTTTTTGTTTTTTTTTTCCTTTTTTTTCCTGGTCCCTGGCAAAGTCATCCTTCAGTTCCACTGTGTCAGTTCCACTGTGGGCCGGTTTCGACTTCTGTCGATGCCCATGATTCAGGTTACTGGAGAGGAGCTTAATTTCTGTCTCTGGCTGCCTGCTACGCTGATTAGAACGTATTATTAGTAGTGATAATTTATTAATAGTGATAAGATAATAATCGGTCAAGACTCGAGACTCGTCCCCTCCCGTGCTTCGGATCAACTCAGCTCCACAAGCGGTTAACAGGGACCCCCACTTTTCAGCCTTTAGTATGATCTCCACTCTACGAATTGGTGGCAAGTTTGATTAAAATGACCCTTGGGTTTTGTTATAAATGGCCTGACAAGTGGTCTGAAAATTGAGGTCTCAGAAGCGTCGGAACTGTATATTGCTCTTTCGAGCGTAAACTTTGAATCACTAGGACCTCGCCCACACGGACTAGAGAATAGAAACTGCGTCACGCCGTCAACCCGCACGGGTTCTTTGGCAGGACAGTGCTGCTGGACCAACATGGCAGGTGGTGCCAGTCCAAGAAAAAAAAGAAAAAAAAAGCTTTCTTTGGCGCGCATGGCCGCAACTCTAGAATGTGTAATTTTGTCCCGTAGCACTGTTCGTGGCTGTCACCGCCTCTCAGAATGTGAGGCCACGGCCGTCTCACTGGGGCAAAAAGCTGCGGCGGCCATCTCGCTGCTGGCGGTTTGTATTCTTCGGCGCGCATGGCGAACCTGCATCGGGAAAAGGGGCCTCGGGGGTCCTCTGATGGTATCAAGTTGAAAAATGGAAAATCGAGACGTGAATTTTGAAAAGTGGCTGTCATCTCAGACTAGTTGAGCAGATCACAAACTCGAACCTTAAGTGTGGCCATGACTCAGGTTACATGAGAACTCCACGTCTGCCGCGGGTTCTATGAACTTGAGAGGTTTAGTGCATAATCTCCTTATTCCCATTCAGCTCAGGTTAGACCGAGTTGTAATTGTAGTCCGACAGGTCACGAGCTCAAATCCTAAGCTGCTGTGCCTATGATTCAGACCACATGACAACTTCACCTTGGGTTTCAGATGTCTTATTATAACTTAACAAATGTTATTTTTCTATTTTTTTATTTTTATTTTTATTTTTTTATGTTTTATTTTTAGATGTCTAATAAGTGAAGCAGATGCATTGTGAAACGCCATTGTGCCCTTCATTTGTTATGAGAGGAAGCGTGAGAGAGAGAGATTCTGTGTGCCTTTTTTTTTTTTTTGGGGGGGGGGGGGGGGGGGGTTCACTTTTTGTTGTGGGAAAATAGGATGCCTAATTCTTGAAATGGCCGTTGCGTTGGCTGGCTTTTACTGCAGGAGGGTCAAGAGGTTGTTGGTTATCTAAACCAGGCCTTCAAAGCTCGTGGTCTGAATATGCGGGTGACAGCTTTGGTATGTCCTTGCCCTTGCCAGATAATGATACGAGACAACATGAGAAAAAAAGGCTGCAAATGCTGTTGCCATTACTCTTACTCTTAACCTCGAGAGGCTGGGACTTGGGCTTCTCCGCTCTTTTTTTTTTGTTTTCCCTTCCTATTTGTTCTTCTATGATCCCTCCTTTTCTGCCTTTTTTTTTTTTTTTTTCCCGCACCCTTCCTATTTGTTCTTCTATGATCCCTCCTTTTCTGCTACTCTCTGCTACTCTCTGCTCTGCTCTCTGCTCTGCTCTGCTCTCTCTCTCTCTCTGTGTGTGTGTGTGTGTGTGCGTGTGTGTGTGTGTGTGTGTGTGTGTGTGTGTGTGTGTGTGTGTGTGTGTGTGTGTGTGTGTGCTTGCGAGGGGGTTGGGTGACCCCCGTAAAACAACCAATCAATCAATCAATCAACGAAAGAAATGTGTGTGTGTGTGTGTGTGTGTGTGTGTGTGTGTGTGTGTGTGTGTGTGTTTGTGCTCGGGGGTGGGCGAAACCCAGGCAACTATCCAATCATTCAATCAATCAAAATAAAATAAAAAACTCGAAAAGAAAAGAAAGCACAAGCCGGCGCCCTGTCTGTGTGTGTGTGTGTGTGTATGAACTCGGGGGGTGGGCGATTCCAAGGCAACCAACCAATCGATCGATCAATCAGGGAAAAAAAACAAATCAGAAAAGAAAAAACAGAAAATACCTAAAGAAAAAAAAAACATGAACAGGTACCGTGTGTGCGTGTGTGTGTGCACACGCGGGGGGAGCTGAAGTGTGCTGTTGATGAACAGACGTATAGTTAAGATGTATAGATCTATAGGCAATGTTTGGAGATGTACAGATGTTTGGATCCCGTGGTCCTACTCGGTTGAAGACGGCACAATTCCATACATGATGGGGATCATCATCGACAGCCTGCCGTCTTGAACCGAATAGATTGCCCGGTCATTATAGCTGTTTTTGGAGCAGCGTCCAGTCCAGATGCAGCGATAATGAAAGGGTGCTAGTTATCGCTGTATTTGGTGCAGCTTACAGGCCAGATGCGGCGATAATCAAAGGGTGTTCTATTTGGGTGAAGACGGTAGTTGTCGGTTAGGCCGGGACAGGATCATGCAGCGGCGGGGGGTTGAAGGTATTATCTATCTCAGTGGGTAAAGGTTCTATCCAACGCACTGGTTACTTTTTCCAGAATTTGTCGTTCCCTTTCCCTTTCCCTTTTCTGTTTCTGGACTTAGTGACCTGACAGTAAAGAATGAGTACTCGGTACGACAGTTTTTTTATTTTTTTATTTTATTTTATTTTATTTTAATTTCTTGGGGTGCATATCAACTGGACACAGTGAATGGATCTGTGTCCTTGCCTACTGTCTTCAGCGGAATAGAATGCCTGGTCAATTCAGCTGTACTTGGGGCAACTTTCAGTCCAAATGCAGCTATAATGACCGGGCGTCCTATTCGGCTGAAGAGAGTAGAGTGGGGTCTTAGACAGTCAGCTCATGATCTTGACTCTACAAACATGGCTCTGTGAGAGGATCAACACAAACATGGCTCTGTATCGCCGTACTGGATGGTTGAGATCAAGTGTTTATATGTGTGTATTTGAGAGAGAGAGAGAGAGAGAGAGAGAGAGAGAGCGAGAGGAACTCTAGACCTATGTGAAGGGCGAGAGAGGGAGAGAGAGAGAGAGAGGACCTCTAGACGTCCTATGTGAAGGGCAAGAGAGAGAGAGAGAGAGAGAGAGAGAGAGAGAGAGAGAGAGGAACTCTAGACCTCATATGAGAAGGGCGCCTCAGTTTTTTCCTGTAAGGGACTGTGAACAAGTATGAGGAAATGATGATGAGATGAAAACAATGCTGAAATAAAAGACTCCACAACAGCTGTGTTACCAAACGTGCTGCCCGGCTCACCGTGGTTGTCTGGGTCGGCCGGCCTCGGAAGGTCCCTGTTAAGAAAAAGCAAAAAAAAATCAGAAACGGAAAACAAACTACGTTGTGTTGAAATATAAACTGAACAACTTCTGCCTCAGGGTCACATTGGAATTCTTTGCGCCCCCCCC